ATTATGCCACAATAAACATGGGTGTGCAGGTATCTCTTTTGTATACTGACTTCATTTCCTAAGAAAAATACCAAAGAGTGATTTACATGGATCATAAAGTAGTTTTGTTTAATTTTTTGAGAAACCTCCATATTTTTTTCCACAGTGGTTGTACTAATTTCTGTTTCCACTAAGAGTTTCTTTTCTGCATATTCTTGTTTTTTGTTTGTTTTGTTTTTTTAAAAATTATAATAGTCATTGTAACTATAGTGAGATGAAATCTCATTGTAGTTTTGATTTTCATTTCCTTGATGGTCAAAGATATTGAAGATTTTTTTTCATATATTTGTTGGCCATTTATATATCTTCTGTTGAGAGGTATCTATTCAGATCATTTGCCCATTTTTTGATTAGGCAATGACACTCTTTTTTTATGTTGAATTTTGTGCATCCTTTATATATTCTTTTATTTTAAACTTTAAATCTATTTTATTTTGTTGAATTAGGGATTGAATCCAGGCCTCTGCACATGCTAAGCAAGTATCCTACCACTGAGCTATATTCCCAGTTTTTTTGTATTTTATTTTGAGACAGGATCCCATGAAGTTGCTGAGATTTAGCCTCAAACTTGGAATCTTCTTGCCTCAGCCCCTTGAGTTGGTAGGGTTGCAGTCATGCTTCACTATGCCTAGAATATTTATTTATTTTAAATGACAAAAATTGTATATGTTTATTTTTATACAACGTGATCTTTGGAAATAAAAATCCATTATGGAATTGCTAAATGAGATAATTAATACATACATTAGATCATATACTTAATATTTTTGTGGTGAGACTACTTCAAAACTGCTCTCTTAAGGATTTTTAAAACTAAAATACGTTTCTCTTAATTATAGTCACCATGTGAGACCTCGTTTTTTTTTTAATATTTATATTTCAGTTTAAGGTGGACACTTGGGAATTCACATTGGTTCAATAACTTTCAAAACAGTTTATCTACTAATATTAAACAAGCATATTATCATTCACAGTTCCACTCCTAGATACCCAAAGAAACTTGTGTACATCTGCACCAGGAAGCATAGTAGGATGTTCACAGCAGCATTAATCATAACAGACCCAAACAGTAAAAGTAGCAGAAAGCTTATATAAATTATAAAATAGCTGTTGTAAACAGTCCTACAAAGAACATGGAATGCAGATGTCTCTTCAATGTACTATTATTACATTTCCTTTGGATATATACCAGAAATGGAATTATTGGAGAATGTGGTAGTTCTGTTTTTTGTGAAGCCTCCATACTGCTTTCTTTAATGACTGTACTAATTTACTTTGTGCTGTATTTTTTAAAGCTTCATATAATAGAAATATTTTCTTTTCCTCAATATTATGCTTATGAAATACATTCATAATGTTGCTTATTTCCATAGTTAATAATCACTACTATGAAGTATTGCATTTTAGAGTTAGCAGATTTTTCTGTAGGTCAGATGGTAAATATTTTAGGCGTGGGTCAAATATTGTCTCTCTTTTGCATTTCTTTTCTTTTTTTGACTTCCCTGCTACCCATTTTTTTCCCCCCTCCTGGTACTTTTGGAGTTAACTCTGGAGTGCTTAACCACTGAGCTACATTCCCAACCCTTATTTTTTATTTTGAGACAGGGTTTCACTAAGTTGCTAAGACCCTCATTAAATTGCTGAGGTTGGCCTCAAACTTGCAATCCTCCACCTCAGCCTTCCTAGTCACTTGGATTACAGGTATGAGTCACTGTGCCTGGCTTTGACTATCCTTTAAAAACATAGAAACCATTCTTAGATCCTAGGCTATACTACAGTTCATATTTGGCTTGCAGAGTATTGTTTGCTGACCCATATTCTATTTTGTGAATATTTTATAATTTATATACACTTTCTGCTATTTTTATAGTTTGGGGCTATTATGATTAATAATGCTGAGAACATCCTACATATGCCTCCTGGTGCATATGTATCCAAGTTTCTTTGGGTATCTAGGTGTGGAATTGTTGTGAACTACAATATGCTTATTTAATATTTGTAGATAATCTGTTTTGAAAGTTTTTGAACTCCCAAGTTCATGGAAGTTATCATTGCTCCATATATTTTCCATTCTGATATTCTTAAGACTATTCAATTTTGGTCATTCTGGTAGATGTATCTAGGATATACTTCATTGGAGTTTTAATGTTAATTTACAATTTAGATAATTCTCTTTCATGAGGAATTCTTCTCAGATCTCTTATCGTTTTCTTCTAGTTGGTGTCTGTGCTTTTCTTATTGACTGATAGACATTCATTGTATATTTTGGGATATGAGTGTATATTTTGGGATATGAGTCATGTATACTAGTTATAACTTGCATGTTCTGAGCATTAATAAAATATTTGAAACAGAAGTTCTTATTTTTCATGAATTCCAAGATCAATTTTTTTCTTTTATGGTTAGAATATTTTAATGTACTGTTTAAAATATATTTTTTCTAAACAAAGTTTATAAGATATTCTCATAGATTTTCTATAATTTTACTATTTTTCCATCACATTTATCTGCAATCCAGACAATGTTGACTTTGTGTGTCCTATGAGTAAAGGGATGAAAGTTGTTTTTTTTCTCCACCCCTGCAAGTCTATGTACATGCAGTTGTTTGGGCACCACCTCAAAAGACTGTTCTTTCCTTACTAAACTGTAATACTGTCTTTATCAAATATAGGTGGTCTGGTTTGGGAATCTATTTGTTGATCCTTATGTAGTGCCAATGAATTAAGATCTTTCAACTCCACGAGGTCCCTTTTTCAAGTATTTCTTGCATTTCCATTTAATATTTAAAATAAACTGATCAAAAATTCTTTGAGGGATTTTTATATAGATTGAATGAAATCTGTAGTTTATACAGATTTACATCTTTTATCTAGACTTTCAATCTGTGAATGTAGTATGGTTCATTAAGATTTTAAAGAATGCTTTCAATAAGATTTTACAATGTCCTGAATAAAAGTCTTACTTATCTTTGTTAGATTTAGGTTGAGTTAATTGACATTTTTAATACATTTTTAAAATTTTCATTCTCTATTGCAATATAGAAATATGATTTAGTTCTTTAATATTAGCAATACATGCATCAACCTTGTCAAGTTCATTAATCTCTCATAGTTTATTTAGTGGGGTTTTTTGTTTGATTTTGTTTGTTTATTTTGATATTCTGGGGATTATTCCCATGGCCTTGCCATACAAGGCAAGCACACTACCATTGACTACATCCCCAGCCCTTTTTATTTTATTTTGAGACAAGGTCTCACTAAGTTGCTCAGGTTGGCTTTCAACTTGTGATCCTCCTGCCTCAGGCTTTAGAGTCTCTGGGATTATACGTATGTTCTGCTATGCCCTGCTCTTTGATTCTTTAAAAATACTCAGTGTTTTTATTTCCCAGTCTTTATGTATTTTTTAAATTCTTTTTCTTGCCTTAGTTCAATGCCTAGTATCCTTCAAACATTATTAAATAGAAGTAACATTTCTTTTGTTATCCATATTCTAGAAAGAATGCTTTTAACATTTGCCAATTAAGCCTGAAGCTTTCTGTTCATAATTATCAATAATGACTGTTTTTCAAAGTAAAGAAATTTGACTCTATTCCTATTTTGCTGATTTTTAGCATGAAAATTTATTTAATTTTTTTGTGAATTATGTGTGCTTTTTAAAATGTAAAACTAACCTTGATCCTAGAATAAACTCAGTCATTTAATTTATTTATTTATTTTGCCAGTTCTTTTTTTATTCACTTAAAAAAATGACAGCGGAATGCATTACAATTCTTATTATACATATATATCACAGTTTTTCAAATCTCTGTATATAAAGTGTGTTGACACCCAATTCGTGTTTTCATACATGTACTTTCAATAATGATGTCTACCACATTTCACCATCCTTGCTAATCCCCTGCCTCCTTCCTTTCCCTCCCACCCCCTTCCCTGTCTAGAATTCATCTATTCCCATGCTCCCCTTCCCAATCCCACTATGAGAAAGCCTCCTTATATCAGAGAAAACATTCAGCATTTGAGTTTTTTGGGATTGGCTAACTTCACTTAACATTATCTTCTCTAACTCCATCCATTTACCTACACATGTCATGATTTTATTCTCTTTTACTGCTGAGTAAAATTCCATTGTGTATATATGCCACATTTTTTGTATTCATTCATCCACTGAAGGGCATCTACGTTGCCTCCACAGCTTAGCTGTTGTGAATTGTGCTGCTATAAACATTGATGTGGCTGTGTCTCTGTAGTATGCTGTTTTTAAGTCCTTTGGGTATAGACCGAGGAGAGGGATAGCTGTGTCAAATGGTGGTTCCATTCCCATTTTTCCAAGGAGTCTCCATACTTCTTTCCATATTGGCTGCACCAATTTACAGTCCCACCAGCAATGTATCAATGTACCTTTTCCCCCACATCCTTGCCAACACTTATTGTTGTTTGTCTTCATAATAGCTGCCATTCTGACTGGAGTGAGATGATATCTTAAAGTAGTTTTGATTTGCATTTCTCTAATTGCTAGAGATGATGAACATTTTTTCATATATTTGTTGATTGATTGAATATCCTCTTCTGAGAAGTGTCTGTTCAGGTCCTTGGCCCATTGGTTGATTGTGTTATTTTTTTCAATGCTTAGCTTTTTGAGTTTTTTATATACCCTAGAGATTAGTGCTGTATCTGATGTGTGAGGGGTAAAAATTTGCTCCCAGGATGTAGGCTCTCTGTTCACTTCATAGATTGTTTCTTTTGCTGAGAAGAAACTTTTTAGTTTGATTCCATCCCATTTATTGATTCTTAGTTTTAATTCTTGCGCTATAGGAATCTTATTAAGGAAGTTGGGGCCTAATCCCACATGATGAAGATTAGGGCCTACTTTTTCTTCTATTGGATACAGGGTCTCTAGTTTAATTCCTAGGTCCTTGATCCATTTTGAGTTAAGTTTTGTGCATGGTGAGAGAGATGGGTTTAAAAAGTATGGAACGTTTCATGAATTTTCATGTCATCCTTGCGAAAGGGCCGTGCTAATCTTCTGTGTATTGTTCCAATTTTAGTATGTGTGCTGCCAAAGCAAGCACAAACTCAATTATTTTTAAGTAGTATTTTTTATATGTCACAAGTTTTGATTTCACGATTATTTTTCATTAGTGGTTTTATGTTCCTGAATTAGACTGGCCTTTCTTTTTTCTATATTTGTTATATCTTTGCTTCCAGTGTAAGAATTATGCTAGGCTCATAAAATTAGCTAGGGAGTGCATCCTATTTGGTGGAAGTGGTTTATGTGCAAATGTTTTATTACTTTTTACTTAACTGTATTGGTAAATACTATGGCAAATCCTGTGGAAATTTAGTTTGTGGGAAAGTTAGGAATTTTGATATCAAGAATAGTTTAGTACTTCTTAGTTATGTCTTTGTCAATATTGCTATGTTCTTCTATATGTCTGTTTATAACTATCTTCAAAAGTAATATCTAGTTGATATGTAATTGTGGTTTTGATTTGCAATTCCCTGATGACTACTGATATTGAGCATTTTTCATATACTTTTTGGGCATTTGTATATCTTCTGTTGAGAAATTTCTATTCAGATGATTTGCCCATTTAATGATGATGATGATAATGATGATTTGTTGAGTTTTTTAAAGTTCCTTGTATAGTCTGGATAATAACCTTGGCAAATATCTTCTCTCATACTGTAGGTTGTCTCTTCATCCTTGGTTATATCCTTTGCTACGCAGAAGCCTCTTAATGTGATATAATCCCATTCATTCATTTACTTTTCTTTTTGGGGTCTTATTCTATATTATTGAAATGTTTTTTCTCTGTTTTTTATTTCCAGTAGGTTTGTGGTTTTCATTTTTGATCCAATTTGAGTTGACTATATATGATGATATTGGTGTCGTTTTATTCCTCTGCTTGTGAATATCCAGTTTTTCTAGCACTGTTTATTGAGGATGTTATCCTTTCTTTATGTTTTAAGCACCTTTGTTGAAAACTAGTTGGCTTTGATATGTGATTTGTTTCTGGGTTCTATATTCTGTTCCATTGGTCTGTGTATTGGTTTTTATGCCAGTACCATGTTGTCGTGGTTAATGTATCCCTAGAGTATGTCTAGATATAGGGGCAATCGTGATACTTCTAGCTTTTTTTTTTTTTTTCCTAAGATTGTTTTGACTGGTGACTTCTGTAGTTCCAAATTAATTTTAGGATTGCTTTTTCTATTTCTGTGAAGAATGTCCTTGATATTTTGATAAGGATTGCTTTGAATCTTTATAGCACTTTTGGTAGTATAGACATTTTCACAAGAGTAACACTTAAATCCATGAACATGGAGATCTTTCCATTTATTTTTATCATTAATTTTTTTCATTACATTGTAATTTTCATTATAAAAGTTATTAACTTCTTTGGTTAAACTGATTCCTAGGTGTATTATTAGTAGTATGACTGCTACTATTTGTAATTTTTAGCTCTTGGGAATGAGATCACTTTCTTGGTTTCTTTCCCAAGAAGTCTGTTAATTAGTATATAAAATGCTACTGATTTTTGTATGTTTCCTCTATTCTGAAACTTTATTGGATTTGTTTATCCATTCTGACAATTTTTTGTAGAGCCTTCTTTTTTTTTCTGTGTATAGAATCATGTCTTATACAAAATAAGGATAATTTATCTTCTTTTCTTCTTACTTGAGTCTTTCATTTTCTTCTCTTCAGTAATACTGTGGCTAAAACTTCCAATACTATGTTGAGCAAGAGTAGCAAAAGGGAACATTCTTGTCTTGTTCAGTCCCTAGAGGAAATACTTTCAAGTTTCTTTGTGCAATATGATGTTGACTGTGGGTTTGTCATTTATAGTCTGTATTATATTGAGATATGTTCCTTGTATACCTAGTTTTTTGAGAGTCTTTATCATGAAGGGATGTTGAATTTTGTCAAACACTTTTTCTGCGTCTGTTGACATGGTCATATTATTTTTATCCTTCATTCTGTAGATGTGATGTTTAATTGTGTATATTGAACTATCATTGCACTTCTAAGTTCCCATTGATTATGATGTGTAATCTTTTTGGTGTACTGTTGGCTTTGGTTTTGCTATTGTTTGGTTGAGGATATTTGTGTCTGTGTGAATCTCAGAATACTGGTTTGTAGTTTTCTTTTTTGTGTGTATCCCTGTTTGATTTTGGTATCAGGATAATGCTGGTCTTACAGAATGAATTTGAAATAATTTCAGCCTTTTTCATTCTTTGGGATAATTTGAGAAGAATTGTTGTTAGCTTTTGGTTTTGCTTTTTAAAATTTTTAGTTGTGATTAGAAACAATATCTTTTTGTTTTATGTATTTTTTTATGTGGTGCTGAGAATCAAACCCAGTGCCTCACACTTGCTAGGCAAGCACTCTACCACTGAGCAACAACCCTAGCCCTTGGTGTTAGTTCTTTAAATGTTTGGTGGAATTCAACAATGAAGGTATCTGTTCCTGAGCTTCTCTTTTCAGGGGGACTGTTTGATTATTTTTTTCAGTCTTTGTACTTGTTATCGGGCTGTTCAAGTTTTCTGTGCCTTTATGGTTCAATTTTGATAGTTTATATGTGTCTAGAATTTTCCATTCATTTTTTATTTTTCCCATTTGTTGGAATATAGTTGTTCATGATATTCATTAATGATCCCTTGTATTTCTGTGCTTTGAATTATACTTTCTCCTTTTCATGTCTTATTTTATTTATTTGGGTTTTCTTTTTTCTTGATGAGACTAGTTAAAGGTTTATTGATTTTGTGTACCTTTTCAAAAAGACTAACACTTGGTTTTGTTGATCTTTTAGCTTTGCAGGAGTTGATTGATTTTTGGTAGTCTATTATTTCAGCTCTGATTTTTGTTATTTACTTCTGCTAATTTTGGATTTGGTTTTTCCATGCTTTTCTAGTTCCTTGATTTACATTGTTAGGTTGTTTGAATTCATTCTTTCTTCCTTTCTTTCTTTCTTTCTTTCTTTCTTTCTTTCTTTCTTTCTTTCTTTCTTTCTTTCTTTCTTTCTTTCTTTCTTTAATGTAGGCACTTATTTCTATAAACTCTTCTCCTACTACTACTTTTGCTATAGCACCATGGGTTTTGGTATGTTGTGTTTCCATTTTCATTTGTTCAAGAAATGGTTTTTATGATTCCTTGAATGACCCATTTTTCATTCAGGTGCTTGTTGGTTAGTTTCTGTGTATTTGTACAGTTTCTAAATTTCCTTATGTAGATTTGCTGTCCTATACCATGTGGTCCGAGAAGCCAAATGCTACCATTTTGACTTATTGAAATTCGTTGGGAATTATTTTGTGGCCTAACATATATGGTCTTTCCTGGAGAATGTTCTATGTGCTGATGAGAAAAATATGTATTCCATAGCTGTTAAATAAAATATTTTTAATGTCTATTCTTTCCATTTGTAGTATAGTTCAGTTCTGATGTTGTTTTGTTGTTGTTGTGTTTGTTTTTTGTTTTGCTTTTTTTTTTTTTTTTTGGTCTGGATGATTTATCCATTGATGAAAGTGAGATTATTATATAATATATTATATATATATATATAAAATATAATTATATTAAAGTCTATATCTCACTTTAGATCTAGTACTATTTGCTTTTATATGATTGGGTGCTCCAGAATTGGACGCTTATATAATTTTTATATCATCTTTATGAATTGAGCCCAAAATTATTATATACTGATCTTCCTTGTTTCTTTTTGTAGTATTTACTTAAAATCTATTTTATTTGATATTGATATAGCTGCTATTTCTCGCTTTTGGTTTCCATTTGCATGGAATATTTTTTTAATTCTCTTATTTTCAGTCTATATGTGTCTATACCAATGAGGTAAGTTTCTTGTAGACAGCATGTCACTGGTTGTTGTTTTTTTATCCATTCAGCCAATCAAGTCTTTTAACTGGGTAGTTTTATTTTTATATTCAAAGTTATTATTGATAAATAATTATTCATGGCATTTTCTGGTTGTCTTGTATATACTTTGTCCCTTCTCTTGTTTATTTTTGTGGTTTGGTTTGGTGGTTTTTCTGTACTGATATGGTTGGATTTCTTTTTTTCTTTCTCTTTTTGTATCTCAAACTAATGGAAGTTCTCTTAAATGTGAATTAGCACTTTACTCTTGTTTTTAGAAGTCTCTGTTCACTTTGGACTTTTGACAACTTTGAGTAATATGAAATAAACAGGGTTTTTGATCAACTGTATTTGGAGTCTTTTGAGCCTCCTGCATCTAGATATGCCAAGATTTGGGGAGTCCTCAGTCATTATGTTGATGAATAGATTTTCTAGGCTTTTTCCCTTCTCTTTCTATATTAATCAGATACTTATAATTTAAACATTTGTTTACTTAATGGTATCTTATAAGTCTTGAAGGCATTGTCTGGTCTTTCCCTCTCCCTCGCCCCTTTCTTTTCTTTGTCTTCAAGTTCAGAAATTCCTTGTTCTGTTTGATGTATTCTGTTACAAATGCTCCCAACTGTGTGTATGTATTTAGTTTTGTTGTTGTTGTTATTTTGGTTTTGGTTTTACTCAACTGAATTCTTTAGCTCCAAGATTTGTTTGACTCTCTTTTGTGATCTCTTTCTCTCCTAAATTTCTCATTCATATCATTCACTGTTTTTCTAATTTTGTTAAGTGTCTGTCTGTATGTATATTTTTGGTATTTCTTTGAGTTTCCTTAGAATGATTATTTCGGATTTTTTTTCCTCAGGCATTTCATCAGTTTTCTTTTCTCTGGAGATTGGTGCCTCCTTTGAAGGCATTAGATTACTTTCTTTTTCACACTTTTTTTATCCTTAAGTTGATATTTGCACATATGGCTTCTCTTTTCTGTCTTCCAATTTTATCAACTAGCTTTTGTAGTAAAAGATTTTCTCTTGAGAGTGTCTTATACTATCCATTTGGTATAATAGATTGGCTTTGGTTTCAGTTGAGTACAGTAATATAGCTTCTTCCGCTGTGATTAATTTAGGTGTCATTCATTTGGTGGGAGGTGGCAGGTAGCCTGTGGATTGCACTGGACATTTTTAGCACCATGGTGAGTATGGCACTTTGTAT